TAATAATAATAATAATAATAATAATAATAATAATAATAATAATAATATACTTATCCATAATAAGAATATACTTATTCATAATCAGCATACACTTGTTCATATTTCAAGAGAGAGAGAGAGAAAATAATTATTATTACTGGCTGCAGGGTATCAAGCTCATTTAATTTATTGTAATGTCCCAGGTTAATGTCAATGCCTGACATGGTTCTTAACCACCTTACTACAGAAAATAATGAAATGTTTATTATTCCTCAGCCTCTTTGATAAATTTGTTACCAAACAAGTTGGAATTTTAAAATCTACAGAGCCAGGAAAATGGTGATTGTAGCGATAGCCATAGCATATAAAACAAGATAATGTTATTCAGTAATAATAAGCATAAAAAACTGTGATGATGGATGGATGATGGATCTATTGATTTTTATTATGTAGTCTGAAACAGAGATGTCTTCCGAAATTATAAATATATATATTTTTCCTTGGGTATATTTGTCTCAAATTGTCCTATCTATCCTACGCCAAAGAATCAAGAGACTATTCTTCTCACTGTTTGAAAATTATCCTTAGTCAATATATTTAGGATTATTTTAAGCAGAACTTGATTAGATTCTTTTGTGAAGTTCTGCTTAATGGAAAAAAGGAAACTATGGGCCATCAATAACAATGTGTGTGTAGGATATCCAGAATTAATCCTTGGCATTTTTAGTTTAATAAAGCAAGCAAACAAACAAACAAACAAAAAAATAGGATCAGATACCAAATGATAGGAAAGTGATCTTTTTGCATTAGATCCCAGAAAGTCTTTATTCATTAAAATAGACACTGTTGCGTGATTGAACAAATCACAGGATCATTAATTTGGATGAGGCCATCATATCCAACCTCTGCTCAGTGCAGGAATTTCAAATTAAACCATCCCAGAAAAGTGGCTGTCTAATTTCTATTTGAACACAGCCAAAAAGGGGCAGCTATCCCCTTTTCTGGATAATTACTTCCACTGTCAAACAGAACTAAATGTTAAGAACTCTTTTTCTAATGTTTTACTTGGATCTGACTTCCTGTCAGATCTCAGCCTTTATTTTGAGTACTGCAGTCTGGAATGAGAGAGGACAGATCCTGATGTTTCTCTATGTGACATCTTTTCAGGCATTTGAAGAGTACAGCCACATCCCACTCCCAAATATCTTTTCTCAAGGCAAACATGCCATCCATCTTTCTTTATAGGGCTTAGTTTCTAGTCCTCCGATCATCTTTGTTAGCCTCCAGTAATCCCGTCCCACTGTTTCTGAATCCTTCTTAAAGTGTGGATATAGTACAAGTGTTATATGACCAAAGAAGAATACAGTTATTATCTAGCCTGTTATGATGAAGCTTACTACATTAGTTCAATAACCATTGTCCTTGGACATAATTTTGTATATCTGTTCTACTCTTCACAGTCTGGATTTGTCTTTATACAAAATCTGAAAGAGAGACAAAATTAAAAATATCTATTTTGCATGCCTAATATGGCAAGAAATTGGTTATGGTAGTTCAATACAAAAGAAGAAGGGGACAACAGAGAAAGAGGTGGCTGGATTGAGTCACTGAGGCAGTCAGCGTGAGCTTAAATGGACTCCGGGGGATGGTAGATGACAGGAAGGCCTGGAGGAACTTTGTCCATGGGGTCGTGATGGATCAGACACGACTTCTCAACTAACAACAACAACCAGTGCAGTACAATAGCCTCTATAACACATTAGTTTCTGAAACATTCAGCTTGCACCAGTGTTGGGATTCAATTTTTTTTACTACCGGTTCTGTGGGCGTGGCTTGGTGGGCGTGGCAGAGGAAGGATACTACAAAATCTCCAGTCAGAGGTGGTATTTGCCAGTTCTCTGAACTACTCAAAATTTCCACTACTGCTTCTCCAGAACTGGTCAGAACCTGCTGAATACCATCTCTGGCTTACACAGTAAAACTAGATATTTAGGATTCTAATTGTTCTCTTGTTTTCATCTGATTTCAATTTTCAATACAGGTAGTCTTAGACTTAACAACAGTTCATTTAGTGACCATTCAAAGTTACAACAGCCCTGAAAAATGTTACTTATGATGATTTTTCACACTTATGATCTTTGTGGTATCCCCATGATAATGTGATCAAAATTTAGATGCTTGGCGATTGACTCATACTTATGACCATTGCTGCAACCATATGACAAGCAAAGTCAATGGGGAAGCCAGATTCACTTAACAACCACCTTACAAACTTATCACTGCGAACTGACTCACTTAACAACTGTGGTAAAATGGGACAAAACTCACAACAAATGTTCACTTAACAACATAAATTGTGGTTGTAAATTGAGGACTACCTGTACATCCAATTCTTTTGTTTTGGAGGGTATAATCTTGGGATTCTTGAAATTATCCTTTCATTCCACAGTCATTTGTTTTGCAAACCATTGATAATTTTCATGAGGTAACTTTTCTCTTTCTTTCCCTACAGCAGTTGCCCTTCCAGGAAATTCTGCTGTCACCCAACACACACTTTCTCTCTGCAGGCCGCTACTTTTCATTCTTTATGTGCTGCTCAGATGATAGCAGTGAATGCTCCTGTTGTCTAAGACATTCCTCCTCCTTTCCTACTTGGTCACCCTCTGCTCCTGTATCTCCCCCTCCTCACTGGCACACCAAAGTGTCCATATGTTACCAAAGACTAACATGCATGACTACGAAAAAAGGGATCCAGCTAAGAACCTAAGGGATTCCTGGAAGAAGTCATACTGTCTAAAAACAAAATATATATAAATAAAGAAGAGACAAAAACAAACAAATGAAAGAAAGAGGGAGGAAGCAATGGAAAGAAGAAATGGAAGCAAAGAATGAAAGGCAATGCTGAGGATGAAAATGATGTTTAAAAGGATCAGTGGAATGGGGGAAGGCATGTTCCTTTAAGAACATTGGACAAGACTTCCTCAGGGAAGTAGGAACTTTTGTTTAAAACAAAAACAAAATATATTAAAGCACAAATTTCTACCAGAACTGTTACCTTCTTGGCTGCAGAACCACAGTTTAGAAGACATTCTAGCATACACAGTGCCATCCTTTGGAATCTCTGTGTTAAGACTTCTCCCTTACCGGTTTTGCCTACAACCTGTCTACTGCAGCGCCACCTCCTCATACTTCTCCCACTCATCTCTGATGACCACAGAACCTTGTCCTCATTTGCATGTACTTCTGAGTCTTCATATGCGTTTTTAAGACTCTCACGTATTTACTCGTCCATCTATAAATTTGCCTTGACCCATCCATTCCCAACTTCAGCTCAGCAAAGCAAAGAGATAGATCTCTTGTGGATTATGGAGATGAATGGAGAAATCTAGGGCAAACATAAGCTGCAGGTTCAGCTGTTGACATCCTTCACCTACCCATCTCTTTTCTCCTTTTTCAGGCTGCTCACTTCTCTCCTTTAGGACTTTTTTTTTCCTACCATCCCAGAGACAGATTGTCAATACAGCACAGAGACTAAAAGAAAAGGCTTCTTGTTTGATGACCAAAGTAAAGAAGCTGAGTAGTGACACTGCAGTCAGTTACTATCAAAGCATGAGTTTCAGAAGCCTTAAGGCAAGGATTTCCTCCACCTTTTATTGTTGTTGTCATTGCTGCTGCTGCTAATTTATCTATTTCCTATTTCCTTTTAGTCATTCAGTCCTTACAGCCCCACTTCCTTTTTAACTGCAAGGGGAGGCACATAGATGCACCCATATAACATCTGAAATTGCAATATTTCCTTGTTGGTTGTAGTACCTATTCTTGGCATATTATTAATCAAGAATGCTGCTACCATGGTGCTTGATTTGCTATTGAAGGATTGGGTAGCTGTATTGCAGCTGCACAGTGAGGGGATAGACAAATGGAAGCAGAAAATAAAACTGTCCCTACATAAAGGAACCAGGATAGGCAGGCTGTTACAGTTTTGAAGAAGAATATACAGATAGTCCCCATTTAGTTGATCACAATTGTGATTGGCAACTTGGTGATTAAGTAAAGTAAAATGAAGTAAAACTAAGCAAAATTGCTTATAAACTGACACCAATTTTGCTTTGCTTTACAGACCTTTGAAGGTAAAAAATGCAGGGATAGGTCACAAAGTTACTTTTGTAACTGCGGACGGTAGCTATATGAGTCACTAAACAAAGACAACCTGTACTTAGATTTCATTCAGTGCAGAAAGACAGAGGTGGGGGAAAAACACTGTTTTCAGGGACACCACTTTACCACTGTGAGAGGAATGTTTTCTCAGGAAAGCCTAACTTGCACTTGGTAGTCCTCAGACTTGGTAGTCTGCAAGATCATTAAAGCCAACTCTAAATCATTATATGAAGAAGAACTGGTCTACCTAGTAGAGAGACATTACTACAGCAATGACATACTCTGCATACATCTTAGTGAGTCCCTAAGACTTCAGGCAGCATAAGCTTTTCCTCCATCCACAGTCTTCCACACCAAGTTGCTACCAGACATGCTGGACTACAGTTCTCATAATCTTCAACTGGCTGAGAATTCTAGCTTTTGCAGTCCAACTTGCTTTGAGAGCATTAGGCTGGGGAAGTTGAGCTAGCCGTTCAAATACATGCTAAATGTTGTTTCAAAACTCCTGTCAATAAAAACATAATAGCCTTTTTGTTTGGAAACAATGACTCCTATATATAATATTACATTTCTAGTAGCCTGAGTATATTGTTAGTCCTATAGTGGGCTGTAAAGATAGAAGAGAGCAAGCAATGTGATGGGGAAATGTCTGGTGATGTTTTTGTAGTTCTGTGTTTTCTGGGTTTACAAATGTACTAATAGGATGAAGGATAATTAATGCTAACCCAGATTCAGATTTGTATAAAATTATCTTAATTTTGATCTGATTACCCACTTCCTTTCTCATAGAAGGCACAGGTGAGTTTATCATTTTCACCAACCCAGAGATAGAAAGTTTTGATTATTCATTGAAAAAGCTACCTATGAAAGAGGTATGTTCTACTTATCTCTTGCTAAAAGGGAAATAGTGGAGAGTAGATTACAAAAGTAGTCTCCCTTAATAATAACCTCCAAAATCCTTTCCATGATTGGTATTGATATTGCCTTCTAAAAGGTAGAAATGGCCTCAGCCTTCCTTCAGTTTTCAGCTTGTTGAAGCCATTGAGATCAAGTACTGAGGATGCTCTCTTTATCAAAGAGGTAGACATTAACTTCCACTGACTGTCAGCAGAGTTAGAGAACCAGGAGGCCCAACCTGGCCACTGGAAAACTCATCATAAGTAACATGGTACAGAGATCTCCCCAGCCTCCAACTTCAAAAATTAGCCTAGCCTACCAATCCCATCCCACCATCTCCCCCAAGTTTCCTGCAGGCTTAGAACAATAGTTCATTTTTAATGGAAAAGTTCCACTGAGTCTGTGATCTGACAAAGATGGATTCTCTATATAATGGGATGTTCTCTGTATCCGAGCATTAACTGTGCTGCAAAAATCATTCTCGTTTGGTCTCTAAAAGAGAATGAGCTTCTAAAAGGGAAAATGCAACATAATTCTGGGTGCTGATTCTTATTTTGGGCCACCTGTGCTTTCTCAGCAATGAAGCAGCTCAGTGCAACCTTTACTCACCTTCCTGGGAGTAAGTCCGTTTACTCCCAGGAACGCAGTTATATAGGGCTGCGTGATTAAAGGCCATATTGTCTTTTAGTCGAAGCAAGCTAAAAATAATACCGAGTTGTGAGTTACTTTGAGAATTTAGAGAAGTTTACTGCAAAAGGGGACAGCTGGTGTTTGGAAGATTAGGAGTGAGAGATTGGGGGGGGAAATAAAGAACAAAACGCAGATCCTGAGCTCCTATCTTCCTTCTCTCTGTCCTATTTCTGCAGCAGCTTCCTGATTTAAGTGTCCATCTGTGTGAGAATTGTAATGGACTAATGAAGTGCCTTTTTGCAAAGGAGATACACAAAGTTGTCTCTTGAATGGGGTGAGCTAGCACTGGCTCAGGTATCTATCAATGAAATATCAGCCTTTTAATCATCAAGAAGTCTCAGGGAGCCTCATTTCCCAGTACCCTCCTTGTTTTTATTGCCCTTTTCTTTCTCTGGCATGGAAGGAACAAGTTTCCTTCGTGGGGGTTGGTGTTTCTGGTGTTTTGTCAGAAGCATGAAGGTTAAAACTAAAAGGTTTCAAGTCATTGTCCAGATTGCCAAGACAAGCCATGGAATGAACTGGCACAGTGATGAAGCTACTTCACTTATGCAGGAAAATGCCAACTGTGCATAAAACCCAATATTTGGATCAGAAGGGCTCATATTGAGTCATGCTGGCTAATTCAGCCCAGGAAACTTCTCAGCATTTCAAGGGAGCAAAATGAAAATATTCTCCAAACAGAGAGGTATATATATTTTTGTTGCTGTGCTTGTTTTTGCTAGTGTTTTCACAGAAAGGTGGGGGAAACCTTTCAGAATTGCTTGAAGTAGCGGCTAACAGTCTGACACATTCCTTTTCTAATTAGGGACTGGGTAGCAAAAATGTAGGAGACATTGAGAAGGTAGAAAAGATAGGCAGAAAATGCTAACGCTTTTCTGGTGAAATCCAGACAGCCACTAGATTGCAAAAAAGGACTGGCATTTTTTGCCTTACCTTTCTGCCTATCCTTCATGTCATCTCAGAGTCTTCTGGATTTTTGCAGCCCTAATTTAGAATAGAATGTTGCATGAGAACAGAGCTTTGTCATGGCATAGCAGTATTGTGCAAAGATTTGAGAAGGAAGAATAGATGGTGGTCCCATTGACCAAAAACACCTGAAATACAGTACCTCCTCCTTAAAGGTAATGCCATTAAAATGAGACATCTGCTTTACCTGAAAATTAGTGACACCCATCTTCAGATTTGCAGAGGAAAAACTCTCAGAAAATCTCAAGAAAGCATGGGATGTACCATCTCAGATCTACTGTAATTGAATATTCCAATGTAGACCTCCAAAAAGCTTAGGAATGAAATTATTTGTAAATAACTTACTTGTTTATTGTTTATAGCTCAATGTTGTCAGATATTGTTAGTGTGTGTGTATATATGTGTGTGTGTGTGTGTGTGTGTACACACACACACACACACACACACACACATATATACATATGTATACATACTTAAACACACATACATATTGATCTACTGAAGTGGTACAAATTGTCTAGAAGTGTAACTGATATATACTGTAACTAGGCAATGTGTAGATATATATCTTAAAGCCCTCTTAAAGGAAGTCTGCAGTTGAATGTAGTATTATTTAATAACCCTTCACTGTTGTGATACAATTATTCCATAAGACAGTCTTTACTTCCTCAAAGTGAAATGCATCACTGCTTCTCAGCAATGACTGAAGAAAATGATTGTAAATAACAGATCACAAAAATATCATAGAAACCTACTGTGCTGCTGTTTTCAGTGAGGATATATATTGGAGGAGACAAGAATATAACCCAATTAAATAGAGCATATATGATATAGGTTAAGGTATATACATACATTGCATTATAGTGGCATTCCCACAACATGCTAAATTAATT